AGAATTGTATTTTATTAATAAGAATGAAATATATTAATTTTAGAAGTAAATGTAGATTTACATGTTAAGCAAATAAAGCACAGATCAGGAAGATAAATATCATGCTTCTCCCAATATATTGTGTGTATGTGTGTGGACAAAAGAGAAGTTATATGGGTAGAAAATGAACTGATGATGTGGGTTGTCCTTCTGTGTATGTGTTGCTTTTATTGGTTAATGAATAAAGCTGTTTCAGGCTGTTGAAGGGTAGAATATAGCCAGGCTGGGAGAGATATTGAAAAAGAGTAGGCAGAGTCAAGTATACTCCATTTAGCTGCCGAAGAAGACAGAGGCTCCAGAAACTTGCCTGTAGATCACTGCTTCGTGGTGACACACAGATTAATCCGACATCTTAAAATGTAAGAATTAGTTAATAAGAATCCCGAGCTGAGCGGCTAGATCAAACAATGCTATAATCTTAAAATGTAAGAATTAGTTTATAAGAATCCTGAGCTGAGCTGCTAGATCAAACAATGCTATAATTAATATAGTTTCTATGCGATTATTTGGGTCTGGGTGGCTGGGAAACAAATGAGCAGTCTCTGCCCACAATCTGAAGGAATTATCAAAATGTTTAAAATATTTTACAATTAAAATACTTCATTACTTAATTCATTTTGTCCCACTTAAAGACTGAATATCAGAAGCTACAAAAAAATCTCAGCAGCACAATTGTATGAACATGAGCTGAATAGGGGTAGCAACAATAGACATACCAGAGTGTATGGGGAAAAATTTAGAAGGCTTCAACTCTACACAAACAACTACCAGCAACAAAAGGCTGCTGACAGCAGGAGAAATAGTTTTCTCAAGGGAAGAGCACACCAATTTTTGTTTTATTTTATTTTGTTTTGTTTTATAAACATGATTTTTCTGTAGCTTTGGAACCTGTCCTGGAACTAGCTTTTATAGACCAGGTTGGCCTCAAACTCACAAAGATACACTTGCCTCTGTCTCCCGAGTGCTGGTATTAAAGTTGTGCACCACCACTTCACAGCCCTCAATTGCTTTTTTAATAACAAATTATCAACACTGAAAAAATACATACACGTGACAATAAACAGATTGAGCAGGTTATGTGTAGGACGGTATACATTTACAAAAATACACATATGTAATAACAAATATTTAAAAAGTGCCTGTGAATTTGAAAAAAGAAGAAAGGAGCAGTATATAGGAGGGGTTGGGGGGAGGAAGAGATAAATGATGTACTTATATTAAAATTTCAATGAATAAAATTGATGATTATGAAAACAGTGATAAACCAATTAAGCAATTTAATTTTGCTAGTGCTGATGTTTACAGATTGCAATCATACTTGAATAAATCTTACTCAAAAACTAGAATAAACCATAAAAGTAAATGACATAAAATAAATCTTCACTTATTTTATTGTAGTTTTTAAAACCATCTTTTTAAATTTTACATAGCAATCTCAGTTTCCTCTCCCTCCTCTTCTCCCAGTTCCCCAGTTCTCCCAACTATCCCCACCCCCAACTCCATCCACTCTTCAGAGAGTGTGGGGGCTCCATAGTCAACAAAGTCTGTCACATCACTTGAGGCAGAACTAAATCCCCAGTCTTGTCTCAAAGCTGAACAGGGTAACCCTCCACAGGGAGTTGGCTTCTAAAAGGCAATTCATGCACTAGAGATAAATAATGTTCTAACTGCCAGTGGCCCCTCAAACTTCCCATATACCTATTACCCACATTCAGAGGATCTAGTTCTGAATTACACAGTTACCCCAGATGTGAGTGTAGAGTGAGCGCCCACTGGCTCAGTTCAGCTTTTTCTATGGGCTTCTTCCTGACAGTCTTGACCCCTTTGCTCATATCATCACTTCTCTCTCTCTACAACTGGACTCCCGGAGCTCAGCCCAGTGCTTAGCTGTGGATTTCTGCATCTGTTTCCACCAGTTACTGGATGAAGTTTCTATGATGACAATTAAGGTAGTCATCAATCTGATTACAGGTAAAGGGTAGTTATGACACCCTCCTCCACTATTGCTTAGGTTCTTAGCTGGGATCATCCTTGTGGATTCCTGGGCATTTCCCTAGTGCCAAATTTCTCACTAAACCCACAATGGTCACCTCTATCAGGATATTTTTTTTCCTTGCTCTCCTCTCACCTTCCCCCAACTCAAACTTCCTGATTCCTCACGTTTTTCTCTCCCTTCCGCTTCTCCTCTCACAATTCCCCATCCATGTCCACTATCCTTCTGTGCTCCCAATTTACTCAGGAGCTCTTTTCTATTTTCCCTCCCTAGGGTGATCCATGTATATCTCTCTTAGGGTCCTCTTTGTTTCCTGGCATCTCTACGGTTGTGGACTATAGGCTGGTTATCCTTTGCTTTATGTCTAATATCCACTTATGAGTGAGTACATAGCACATTTGTCTTTCTGAGTCTGGGTTACAACAGTCAAGATGTTTTTCTTCTAGGTTCATCCATTTGCCTGTAAATATCAACATGCCATTGTGTTTTTTACCACTGAATAATATTCCTTTGTGTAAATGTAACACATTTTTAAAAATATTAAATATAGGTAACAATTTAACTAAGAAAACAGAAATATATGACTAAAATTCTTTGAAAACAATTATGTATAATGTATTTGCTTTCTATATACATTGCTTGATTATGAAGCTCAATAGCATAAGTGCATTTGTAATTCTTTAAAAGATACAGAATACATGTGTTTTCTAGTAGTATTTTAATGTGAAATTTAAAATAATGTAACTTTATCAAGATTTCTCTGGTTATATTTATAAAGTCTTCACATCTTATCCTATGTCTTACTGACCTAAATATGAAAATTACAACAAATTAATATTAAATGTCATTTATTGCTACTTATATAGCATTCTTTTTTGAAATACATATTCTTTAACTCTCAACCTTTTCTGTAAATTTGACCATTTAGCATAACTTAGTTTATTTCTCTGTGTACTATACACATGTACATTTTTCTATATTTGCATATGCATGTTTGTGTGAAGAACAGAAGTTAGTCTGTATCTTTCTCAGGCACTAATTAAGCAGAACTTACTGGACAGTGAACTCCAAGGTTCTCCTGTTACTGCCCCTTGGTGTTGGGTTATTACTGGTGCACCATCATGCCACTGCACCTAGAACACATTGTAGAACAATCCTTTTGTCCTCTGTAAAGATGTGTTGCTCTCATTGGCTTATACAGAGCTTCCTGGCAGGAAGAGGATAGGCTGGAGAGCTAGACAAAGAGAATAATGGGAAGAAGAGAGTCCTTTTCATGAGCCAGACACAGAGAAACAGGATGTGTAAAAGATGAGGTAACAAGCCAGAAACCATATGACAGCACATAAATTTGTCAATATGGGTTAATTTTAGTTGTAAGAGCTGGTTACAAGCATAGGTTATCTGCCAATCATTTATAATTAAAAATAAGTCTCTGTGTGGTTATTTGGGAGCTGGCAAACTGATGAAAGACCCCGTCTGCAAGCCCTTTACATTGGAGGTGATATTCCTAACTCAGAACTTGTACAGTAAGTACTTTTCTCAGCTGACTTACCTCAGCCATGAAAGCAATGCTCCTGAGAGGAAAGTAGCATATAGGGATTCTTTTTAATATTAAAAATCAGTAATAACTTTTAATTGGAGGTTATTTTAGAGTAATTTTAGGTTCCAAAAACAGTCAGATGATTATGTTGATAATTCTCACCTCTTGCCTCTCTCACTTAAGAAAAAAGCACGGTGTGATTCATTTGTTATGCTAATTTAGAATTGATATTAAGGTTCAGTAATTTTGCTGCATAATTGTGTGGATTTTCCCATGGAATGCATAAGTATTTTATATAACATTATCTACAGGGTACTGAAAAAAGTTAAGCTTCCCATATTTATACTCTATTTTCATGCACTGTTATCCATTGATATTTTTAGTTATTGTATTATTTTGCTATTTTCAGAATGTTATATATTTATATAGCTGTTTTAGGAAGATTCCTTTCACAAGTTAGTATTCATTAAATTCATCATGTCTTTTCAGTTCTTGAGAGCTCATTTATTTCTACCTATCAGCACTATTCTCTTGGGCAGGTGCATCATAGCTTATTCACCTACCAACTGGAAGAAATAAGTACTTCCAATTTTGATAGTTGTATATGAAGTTAATACAAACATTATCTGCAAGCTTTGTATGGATATAGTTTTCATTTTCATAAATACCTGAGTATTATTACTGGAACATTCAGTAAAATCATGTTTAGCTCTGTAATATATTTCTGAATTCTTCCAAAGTCTGTAAAAAAAATTTCACTTTCAGAAAAAGAATGTATGAGTGTTCATGTTCAACTAATTCCTAGTTATTAGTTTTGCCCTTCTTCTGAGTTTTAGCCATTCTAATAAGTATTTAGTCATATTTCTTTGTTTTATTTTGTTGTTTCCTGTTACTTAAAAATATTTTCTTGAGCTTATTTTGAACATGTATATTGACATTTTTGAGATGTTTGCTAAGGTATTTGGCCTGACTTTTCCCTAGATTACATTCTCATTTCTAAATTGTAAGTGTTATATGTGCATTGTAAATTCGATAATTTTATCTGAAATATATTTGTAAATAAATTCTTCTTTTGTGCCTTATATTTTATTTCTTCTAAAAATGTTTAACACAGAATTAATTAATAATTAATTATATACAATTATAATCTCATTTATTCTTTTGTTGAACACTTTTGATTCAACAATAAATGATTGTTTAAAAGAGAGTAACCCTCTCATAGGCTTATATATTTTAATTATTATTCATCAGGTTGTGGATTTTTCTGAAAAGATTACAAATATTAAATGTGTGCCCTCATTTCAGGAAGGATGTCACTGGGAGGAACTTTGAGATTTCAAAACCTCATTCCATGCCCAGTCTCTCTATATCTCTCTGTCTGCATGTCTGTCTTTTTGTCTCTCTCTGTTTCTCTCTGTCTCTCTCTAGCTGCAGATCAGAATGAATCTCTACTACTTCTCCAGCAACAAGCCTCCTATGTCTGCAATATGCTGCTGAACATGACGTCGGTGGACTAAGACTCTGCAATTGTAAGTAAGCCACCAATTAAATGCTTTCTCATCTAAGAGTTGCTGTGGTCATAGTGTTTCTTTGCTTCAAAAGAACAGTAACTAAGACACTTTAGTAGATTATCTAACGCTGTGAGCAAAACCAAAGCAGTTCAGGTTTCCTCCCTGTTCATTTTCTACGAGAGGTACACGATAACTATGTGGAACTCCCAATGGATTGTTGCAAAATTGGAAAATTCTTAGCTTTCATAATCACATTTGGCATGTCTGTTTCTCTGTCTTTCTCTCTAATTCTCTTAATGCAAATTCTATATAGACATGCATATATGCAGTGGCATTTCAATTGTATTTTAATAAATAAAGCTTGCCTAATATCAGAGAGTAAAATGACCCACTGGGCAGTCTTAAAGACCAGGTAATTACAACACACACCTTTAATCCCAGTAGCTACACAAGTTTGCCATAGAAACTGGGCAGTACATGCTTTCAATTCCAATGATGCACACTTTTAATTCCAGTCTTAGAGATGATTATAAAACAGAAGTAGATAGCTCTCAAACAGTCTCCTTATGAGATTCCTGGAGGCAGGATCGCAATTTCAGACTGAAGTCAAATAAAAAATCAGTGGCTGGCTGTTTTCCTTCTTGGTTCTTCAGGTTGAACTACAAATTCAGTCTTTGAGTTTTTATTAATCATGCATCACACATATACATAATTAAATATGTATGCAAAAAATTAGCCCTCTGAGTGATTAGATATTAATATCATGATAATTGTGTTTGCAATGTTAAGAGACTACTAGCAATGTGTGCTAAGATCCCACAATAGACTTAAATAAAATTGCGCTAAACACTCCAAATTCACTTTATACAACATTCATGTGCATATATTTCTTAAAAGTATTTAAGAAAATTAATCATTATAATAAAATTGACTGGCTAACTCTACTGTTATATGAGATAGTGTGGGACAAAAAGATGAAGTTTTTATTGTACAAGTCTTTCACTTGCTTCGTTACAGATACACTAAGGTATTTTATACTTTTTTAAACTGGGACTCTTTCTCCTTTTAGTCTGCCCTGTACTGCTTTGGAGAGAGGGTTCTTGCCTTGCCTTCTTTAGTTAGTTTTGTTATGATGTTTTGTTGTCTCTTGGAGGCATGATTTTTTTTTTCTGATAGAATGCAATGGGGTAATAGATACAGGGAGAAGTAGAGCTGAGGAATAACAGGGAATATTGAAACGAATAAACACTGTGATGTTATACAATATATCAGATGCATTGTATGAGTGAAGAATATATTCTTAATAAAAATTTATAATAATAAAAAGGTGGGTTTTTTCCTTCTGTTTATTCTTAGACCTCTACATTGTATATAGGAGAGCCCCTGTTTGCACATTGATTTGGTATCAAGTTCCTTTGCAGAACGTGTTTATCAGTTCTCGGAGATCTCCAGTTGAATTTCTTTACATCACTTTTTAATACTGTCGTTTCTACTCTACATAAACCAACTTCTTCCTTTCTAATTTGTTTCCCTTTATCTCCTTTTGTTGTCTTATTTCTCTAGCTAACACTCAAGTGCTATATTGAAGAGGTACGGAGACAGTGGACAACCTTATTTTAGTGAAATTGTTTTGAATTTCTGCTACAAGCTGCAACATTATACAGTGATTGCTCAGTCATCTTTTCACAACTGATTTATCAGAATCAAGGAATCTGGTAAAGACTAAACCAAAAGGCAAGACTTTTTGGCCTTACTGCTCTGTGAATAAAGTGGTTGTTCTTTGCTGTAGATTTATTTGCTGTAGCTAACTCCCTTTCTGTTACATATTTGGGAATTAATTCCTTAGTTCAGAAAAAAATCCCACTGCCAAGCAGTGTTCCTATCTTTTAGGTAAGTAAAGAGATCTGCCTTCCTGTAATTATCTTTATCGACATCATTTGGTCAATGCTTTGGGTCCAGGCATAGAGAATTTAGTTTAAGATATTCACACATATCCAATGACATAGAATTCTACTTGCCCAAGCTGCTGCTCTGGTTTTACGTCACTCAAAGGATTATTAATTCCTTATGCTCACTTTCATCTCAATTTACTGATGATTTTAGTTCAGGACTCTCAAGGACAGTAGGAAGGATAATTAACTGCAACCCAGAGAAAGACCCTCAACACCCACAATCAGAATGACTAGTAACAGCATAGCCCAAACTGATAATTTAGAGATTTGGGTTTCTTACTTGCTTAGAGCAGTAAGTCTACCTCAAGACTTAAGTCCTTAAAAATTACAGCTTCTAGTGTATGTACTATCTGATCAAGAGACATCAGCTTCTCTCTATTTACATAGGTTGCCTGGTTACCTGGCAGCCTCTGTGCATACTGGGAGAAAAGAAGTGACATGCTGATTTAAACAATTCATGTCCTATTCATAGTTTTACTGAAAATAAACCTAACAACCTAAAAATGTTGTGTAGTGCACTAACCTTCCCCTCTAGAATTCCCTGATAATGTAATTCTAATTTTTTTCTTACTTTCTCCTTTAAGAAGTTAAACAGAAGTGTACCAGCCACTCCCAAGAATCTCTCTCTCTCTCTCTTTCTCTCTCTCTCTCTCTCTCTCTCTCTCTCTCTCTCTCTCTGTGTGTGTGTGTGTGTGTGTGTGTGTGTGTGTGAAAATCTTATCTGATTTATTAAAGGGCAAAAGAATTCCAGCCCTGGAACCTGCTAAGGCTCGGGAATTGCTGGTTTTAAGAATATATATTACTGGGAATGTTTAGTAATAGGACATAGAGAAGATTAAAGAAATATGGGCAGAATGTTTTGTAATAGGTGATAGAGAAGAATAAAGAAACATAGGCAGATGATTTGCATTGTAAGTAGACTTCATTACCATGAAGTTTTTGCCTGCCCCCCACTTTAACTATTCATGGAATCTTTAATTGAACGCTGAATAAAAGCTTAAAGGCTAAAACTTTTAAAGCTCCAGCTAAGTTTCCATCTGTTTAAAGTGACGTTGACTACATGCTTGTTGTATATTAAGTTATTATGTTGATGTATACCTACTGTATTCATAATCTCCCCAGGGCTTCTATCATGAAGGGGTGTTGGATTATATTAAAGGCCTTTCACATATCTAATGTAATTATTATGTTGTTTTAGTCTTTTAGTTTGTTTATGTGATGGATCATATTTAATGACTCACATAAATCAAAACATCCCTGTATTCCGGGATAAAGTCTACTTTATAATAATAGATGATCTTTTGGATGTGTTTTTGGATTTGGTTTGCAAGCATTTTGTTGAGTATTTTGCATCTATGTTTGTTAGGGAAATTGGTCTGTAATTCTCCTTGTTTGTTGGGTCTTTCTGTGGTATGCATATTAGATTAACTGAAACCTAAAATAAATTGAGCAGTGTCTATTTTGTTTCTATTTGTGTAAAATGATTTGAGTGGAATTACCATTAACTTTTAAAAGTCTTGCAGAATTCTGTCCATAAATATTTTGGCATTAGTCCTTTATTTGTTGAAAAATTTTTGGTGCCTGCCAAAAATTGGATGAATGGAGGAAGAGGTGAAGATCTGGTGCTATCTTACCTGTTTTGCAGAATAGAGTGGCCTCTGGATTCTTAGGAAGTAGCTGCGAGAGTTGGGAGATGGAACAAGCAAAGAGGGGAGTGATGTTTGGAGGGGAAGATCTTGTAGATGGGGGAAGTGGTTGAAGCTTGTGTTCTGTTGCATAGGTAGGAATGAGACTGAGGGATTTGATTTTGTAGAGCAGAAAGAGAAGTGAAGGTCTGCTGTTAACCTACCAGCTTTCTTGGCCAGACTGATCTGATTTTGAAAAGGGTACCTGATGGATTTAGTAGAAGGAATAACTCAATGAGTCCCAGAATGGAGAAAAGATGGGTAAGGTCTACTGGTGATGGGAGCAAAGAGGAGGAAGTCATCAACAGGTGTTTTACTATAACGATAAGGATGAGACTCAGGAATTGGATATGGAGGAGAGAAATTAAAGGTGAAGCTCTGAATTCCTCTTACAAGATTGGCCTCTGGGTTTCCATGGAGTGTCTATTGGTGTTTGGGGAAAGGATAAAGCCATCCAGTAAGGAGAAGGTTATTAGGATGGGAAGATCTGTGTGACCCACTGGAGGGAGACAGATGGAAGGTATGGAAGAGAGGCTGTAGCAGGTTTGGTGCTCCTCTTTTTGGGCTATAAATATTCCAGAACTTAGGTTGGAAGTTCTATCAAACATCAATATGCTATTGTATAACATTTCTGTTGATGTGACAGTATAGTATATGGAGAACAGGGAAATCATGCTACAACTCCATGACATGATAAGGAATGATATATTTAGTATCACTCTCTGCAATCTCAGTCTTTGTGCTTCATAAACAGTTAATTGCCTGGTTGAAAGAATACTCTTCAAACATTAGGCTGAGTTCAGGACTTCCTGCTAAAGAGAGGAATGAAGGCTTGTAGGAGCCAGAAGGGTCAAGGACATCACATAAAAACCCACAAAACCAACTATCTTAGGCTCATGGGAGCTCACAGAGCATGAGCTAACAACTAGGGAGCCTCTATGGGATTGACCTACACATTTGTGTAGCTTAGCCTTCTTGTGGAATTCCTAACAAAGGAAGCAGGTGCTGTTTCTGACTCTTTTACTGGCTTTGGGACACTTTTCCTCCTACTGGGTTGCCTATCCTAGCTTTAATGAAAGATGAGGTGCTTAGTCTTACTGCAATTTGATATGCCATGTCTTGAATATCCAACATGGGGGCATAAGGAATGTGGGAGGAGAAACTAGAAGGAGAGTAAGGAGCGGAAACTGTGGAGAGAATGTAATGCACATGCAAACACACACACACACACACACACACACACACACACACACACTAGGAAAGACTAAGGAGCTTTTGAATTGGAACATTTTCTTCCACCATTTAGAACCTGTCTTTGGAATTTCTACTGAGGGTCTTAGAATAACTATCCAGTATACCTATGTCAGTTTTTAAAAATTCCATGGAGCTTCTAAAAAATAACTACAATTAGTTTTGTCTGTGAATCAAGTTGTAGGTGGAGACTGCTTGTTCATATCCTGGCTGCTCAGACCCAAATGATCAAACAAAAACGGTATCAATTACAACACTGCTTGGCCTATTAGCTCAGGATTCTTATTAACTAATGCTTACGTCTTAAATAAACCCATCTCTATTGATCTGTGCATCACCTTGAGATTGTGAACAACCAGCAAGTTCTCAGTTGGCGTCTTTCTCCTTCAGCAGATGCATGACATCTTTTTTACTCCGCCTTCTCTCTGTCTATAACTCTTTCAGCCTGGCTATATTCTGGCCTGCCATAGGCTAAAAGAGCTTGATTCATTAACCAGTAAAAGCAACACATGTACAGAAAGACATCCCACATAATCATTGTTAGTGGAGACTGCTCATTCGTTTCCTGGCTGCCCTGACCCAAATAATCACACAGAAACTGTTTGGTCAATGGCTCAAACATATTCTGGACTTACTCTTATATCTAAAATTAACTCATTTCTGTTAATCTATGTATTGCCATGAAATTATGGCCTACTGATAAGGTTCCTTGGCATCTTTCACCTTAAGTAGTCACTGAAGGCATCTACCTGGTTTTACTCTGCTAAATCATTGGCCAAAACAACTTTATATATTAACCAATATAAGCAACAAATATAGGGAAAGGACATCCAACATCATCATATTGTCTTTTTATGATCTTTCTGTAAGAATTTAAACATCTTCTGGGGCTGGAGAGATGGCACTGCAGTGAAGAGTACTGACTCCTCTTTCACAGATCTTGAGTTCAATTCCTAGCACTGACATGGTAGCTCACAACTATCTGCAATAGGATCTAATTCCCTCTTCTTGCATGCAGAGCACTCAAAAATAATATATGAAAAAATAAAATAAAAATTATGAAAAGTAGGAAAGTTATTGATGCACATGATTAAAATTTCAGAGTCAGAGGCCATCAATGTGAAATATAAGCTCATTTCTCTGATAGAGTAACAACATTTAAGAAAATTTAAATTTTTAAATTTTTTTCTTTTGTATGGCAATGGGTGTTAAATCAAAAAAACCACATTTTTTATCATTTGTACATAAATTATTTTCAGATTGTCTTTGTATTAAAATTTAGTAATTCTATCTCTCAATTAGTTAACATGGTTAGCTGTCATGGTCATCCATCTAATGTAGTTTTAAACACACAGAAAGATGACCCCAAATACTGAATAAAGCATAAATGTATAGTTTCCAATAATGGAAATGATAACACTCTATGGATGGATAAATTTATACCTAATCTCAATAAAAGCAGCAACATGAACATTAACTTCAGTTTAAGGAATATTATTCATATACTAAACTGATAGTGTCCCACAGTGAAATAAGTGTGTTAAAACTCTTTCACTCTTAACAAAAATATATTCCTATAGTGCTACAATATATGTTTCTTATACCATTTTGGAGTGGTAAGGAGTATTTTGTATTCCATTTGATATATGTTTACATGTAGATGACATTTGCTAATCAGGGTTAATTTCTACCATAATATAGTTACTTAGTGCCACAACTGATAAACATGTTTAAATATTACACAAAATGCTTTGTAAACCAATTCCACTCTATTTTACTACCTTTCTACACACACACACACACACACACACACAAACTCACACACACACACAGAAGCAAG